AGTATAATAGCATTGCAGCAGTGTGTGTGGGCCCTGAGTATAAAAGCATTGCATTATTTTGAGTGGGTCGAGAGTATAATAGCATTGCAGCAGTGTGTGTGGGCCCTGAGTATAAAAGCATTGCATTATTTTGAGTGGGTCGAGAGTATAATAGCATTGCAGCAGTGTGTGTGGGCCCTGAGTATAAAAGCATTGCATTATTTTGAGTGGGTCGAGAGTATAATAGCATTGCAGCAGTGTGTGTGGGCCCTGAGTAGAAATGCATTGAAGTATTGTTTGTGTGCCTTGAGTAGGGCTCTGTTCCTACTGTATGTCATGCGCGTCTTCAGTCAGCACATTCTCTGATGTAATGTTTGCCCCCACAGGCTTTGCGACAGCACCACAAGCGCAGGAATGGCATGTCCATGATGGTGAACAAAGCTGTTCCTCGCGTCGTCTTAACGCCCCTCAAAGTCTCTGATGACCAGCCCGATTCCCCAGCAGGTATGTGACTCTCACATGCCTCCTGCCTTCCAGAGAGCAACAGGCAGCATTTGATGTCCCAGTTAGTCCATGCATCCATCTTCCCGATGCTTTTTCTGGTCAGGGTCATGGGGCCTGGAGGCCAACCTGGATGCACTATTGATGCCATGCGAGTCCATTACAGGGTACATGTATGCACACGCTCACATGCTTACTGTTTGGAAAAGAACCTACACCCACAGAAATACGCAGCTGGAAGTTAGATCAATGGATGGATGTCATCTGCAATGTGGGGATATACATCTGAATTTTGTTTGCAATTTTATATTTAAAACTTTTATTGTAATATATTATGAAATACCTGTTCCACATTTACTCACAGAAGTATGCCCAAATATTACTTAATGCAATATGTCATCAAACAGATGAAGCTTTGGTGTGATTGTACAGTTGTCATGGAAATAATTAACACCTTATAAAAAGATACATTTAAAAGTGACCCAGACAAAAAGAACAGTGAGCTTCTACTTCAGGCCTTTTCCTGTTTTACAGTTGTTTTCTTGAAACTTTGAAAATATAAATTACTTCCAAAGCACACCTCTGTTTCCAAGCACAACACCCCCGCAGACCTGTCCTCTTTGCTAATAAGTTTGATTCCTGTTTTATCTCGTATCTCCAGAGGAGTGTTTTTTGGCTTTAATGTCATGGACAATGAAGCTTCTGCTGGACTCACTAACACAGACATGTCTTTTCATATGTCCCCCACAAACTGACAAGCTGGTGGAATGATTTAATAGAACAATTAAGCATATTCTGCAAAAGATTGTAGAAAAAGATGCATGCAGTGTCAATGGAGTGCTACACTTCCTGGTGTTCCCTAATGATGCCAAGCCCACACCACAAAATTGTTGAGCATGGTGCCCAGGAAGGACAAAAAGAACATTTGTTACTGACATGACAGACTAAAGAAATCACGTCCAATGGGATAGTGTAATCCCAAGAGTGGATAAGTTTCATGTACGGGTCTGCCAGATCATAGGAGACCAACTCGATCCACTTCTGCTCCATGCCATTGTGGGGGGAGGAAGCCGCAGGGAAGTCAAGATGCCAGCCTCCCCCAAAACACTCTGCTTTCAGCTGTTTAATATGGGGCCTTATTTCCAGAGTATTTCTGTATTTTCAAATCTGTGTCTGTCTTTTGTTTTCAGTCCTCATCTCCCCTCTTCCCGATCCGTGATTTTGCCTCCCTCAATCCGTGTCTCCGTGTCTTTGGATTTTGCTCCTGTTTCCTGCTCGATTTCCTTTTTCTCTGACATCGACGGCCTCGTTCCTCCATCCAGCACTTTCTGGCTGTATTCAGCTCCAGGTTGCTGTCCATTAATTGCTGCTTGATAAGTGCCATGGGCTGGTGTTGCAGGCCCATGCGAGGGCAGCCTACTACTGCCCTACTACTAGAGTACTTGGTGATCAGTTGCTGTTCTGCAGAGGTCCAAGCCTTCTAACACATAATGATACACTGTATAGTACAGTTAATTCCCCAGTGCCCTGGTAACTGAGATATAGACTCAGGTTGAACATTTTACATATCTGTAGAACAAGCCTGGTTGAGTATGCTAGCTTTGTGAAGCTGGTTCATCTCATTACTACTTCTTATTTATTTATTTTTAACATTGCGGTGGCAATATAAGTAAATCAGAATAATGAATATTTCTGCATATGTTCATAACTAAAGTCCACAGGTTGCAACATTGTAATTTTAGTAGGCCATAACGGTTAACGATGAATGTTTGCTTTGTTAGCAATATTGGCCAATCATTAGGAACAAAAATAAAATGCAAGTCTTAGGCTCAGCTCCATTAGTTGGATTTTTTTCATAGTTTTTGCACAATGAAAATGTTTCAAATGCTAGATTGATGCTGCGGGAACTCGATGTGTTCATGTTCAGGGCTGACGTCAGATTTTCGGATGTTTTGGAGGCCCTCTCATAAGCCATCGCAGTGGCATTTGACATATAGAGATTTCATGTACGCAGAGTGGCGTACTTCGATCGATTCTGAATTCACAGCCAGAACTTCAGAAGAAATTCCCAAGAAAGGATGGATTGCAGCAATAAATGCTTATATCTATTATTGAACAGTATATACAGTAACAGTGAGACCACAGGTCAGAATCGGTTTATAGATTCTGGAGCTTGTACCCTTATGGCTATATGGTTGTAGCAGCCAATAATGTAACACCTGCCAAAAATGTAATACCTGCCAAAAATGTAATACCTGCCAAAAATGTAATACCTGCCAAAAATGTAATACCTGCCAATAACGTCATCATGTTTTTAATACATTAATGGTACTTATTATATTGTTGGCTGCTACACTAGTGAATAATGTAATAACTTATTACATTATGCACAAACTTGGTTCTGAAATTTTATTACATTGGTAAGTAATTACTTTTACTACATTGTTGGGAAGTAATTACTTTTATTACACTAAAATTTGAAAAATTATTATGTTATTGGCAATTATTACATTATTGGCTGCTGCAATGCTCTGTACAGTGTGAAGAGGTGTGTGTGTCTGTGTGTGTGTGTGTGTGTGTGTATGTGTGTGTTTCTGTGTCTGTGTGTGTGTGTGTGTGTGTGTGTATCCGTTTAAATTTTGGGGTGTAAGAATTCTAATGAGATGATAGGAGAAAATACTAAAGAAATATTTGAATGTGCTGTATTGTACTTTATCCATCCATCCACCCATTATCTATACCGCTTTATCCATCTGGGTCGCGGGGAAGCCGGAGCCAATGTATTTTATAATCTTGATAAATGTTACAAATTTGACTTAATACGTTTATGATTTCAAATGTGCGTAGGTTAAAACAGATAACTTATCAAAGGCCCTAATGCTGGCAGTAAGTATTGTGAGCATTGATATTATGTGAGCAAGTAACATGATTTCTAATTTATATTAGTGAACAATAAAAGTTTAAAATTTGTCGTCTTTTGCTAACATGGTTAATCATTTAAAACTGAATTATCCTAGGAAACCAAAGTATACTTTAAAAATAATTTAGTCAATATTGTGACTCGGTGGCTGAGTATAAAGAACTAAACTGTGATTGCATGTTATCTTCCCTGGCTTACTCTACCATAACAGTCTGTAATTCTGTTGTAAGAAGTCGCACGTCTATGAATAATAAAGGCAGATGACCGTTGAGGCATTTGAAGTTATCAGAATTCTATGTGGTATTTTATGTAAATGCCAGAAGCAGAAAATTGGCTTTATAAATACCTGATTTCATTCATTTCCACAGGAAAGAAAATACTTGAACCTCATTTGCATTTTCAAAGGGCAATAAAAAGGAGCAGATACCAGAACACTGCTTTGTTATGAAAGATGTACGGACTCGTGCCTGTTTTTGCGAAATAGAACAGTGCATGAACAGTGGTTAGAATTGAATGAGCAGCAGTTTCTTAGCTGTGAAACAAAAGGGCTGTGAGTGACTCCCACAGAGAGATGCCGTGACCCATATACATACTACAAATGATACTTGATCTTTTATTGGAACGTTCTGTAATAAATGTGCATTTAAAGTAGCAGCGGAGCTGTGTGTAGAAGAATTTTAAAAAGCAATCTGAAAATGTCACTTTCTGTACATTGACTGCCTGTCGTCTCCTGAGGCTAGTTCTTTGTGGGGTCATTTGTGGTTAACGCCTTTGGGATTACCATAGCGATTTCACCTGTGTTATCTCGATGCATTTATGTGTATGATTCTTTTCAGGAACTTAAAACACAAATACTAGATGAGAAATGATAGACGTGGCGCTCGGAGCACAGCTAGACACCGTGTCAGGGTGGGTGACCAAGGATGAGGTTCTGCCCGGGATGTTTGCTCCAGTCCTTTCTCCTTGCCGGATGCCCTTAGATCTAGGAAAGTGAAGAGGGAGAGGTGAGAGGGAGTGAGGTGTCATTCTGGTTAAAGAAGCGAGTAAGAGAAGGAAAAAAGGACAAGGGCGATGAGTTATCAAAGAAGGAAGTGAAGGTAGGCATTGAAACTGTAATTCGATTGATTCCGTCAGCCGGGAACAATTAGCCGTCTCCAGTTTTGTGTAGTTGGCTTTGTGGCCGTGTGCTTACCGGATATCTAATACAGTGATTGTGAAGTTCTGACACTTGGTCACTGTCCTTGGTACTGCAGTGACCGCCTCTGTGGGTCCCGGGGGGGACTTCGTGACCCTAAGAGCTCCGGTCCACCATAAGATGTCTGTCCGTGAGGCAATACTTCAGTTCAGTCTGCACCTGTTTGATAATAACTGTCGTGTGCCTCAGTGCCAAGGATAAACCCCCCTAGTATGAAGAAACTATGGGGGGGGGCATCCTCCAGCGGCCAGCAGGGGGTGTCCAAAGTTACGATTTATAGAGCAGTTTTGTGAGTAGTCCAGATATTTATGTATGGGGAATGTAGTGGGATTCCGGGCTTGCAGTGAAAGGTAATTCCTCAGGTGTCGTGCTGCCCTAGAGAAGTCTCAGGCACAAAGGTTAGGAGGTTTAGACTGAGGACTAGTGAGGTGAGCAATAGAAGAAGACCAGAGTGTACAGGGGAGTTGATAGAGTAAGAGATTAAACTGTGGCAGTGAGACTGTTGCAAACTGTATCAGTGAAGAGAAGAATCTTGAAATCAATGCGACATTTTAGGAGGGGCCAGTGTAGAGTAGGGGATGTTGGGTCCAAGCTTGGGGGAGTAGGAGAGTTCTGGATCATCTGGAGCTTGTGAAGCGACCTGGAGTAAATGCTTGTAAGGATGGAGCAGCAGTGATCAAGGTGACTGTAGATGGAGGCATGACTGAGGGTCTCAGTGGTGGATTGAGAGTGGGAAGGTCTGGGTTGGGCAGAGTTGCAGAGACAATAGTGAAGGGTTTGTCTGTAGCGGAGACATGAGCACCAGATGAGGGGGGTCTAAAATGATCTTCTGTACAGCAGGTTTTTAAATCAATATCCTAACTCAGTTACTACTGAAGTTACTACTAA